TTAGAGTCTGCCAGTCGGCAAGAGCCAGCAGTTGGTTAGCTTAGCATAAAGACTGCAAACGGAAGGAAACAGCTAGCCTATCTCTGTCCAGAAACCTTTCTCCAAACTTCCAGCAGAAAGCAAATGAGAGAATTCTCCAAAATCTCAAGTAATTTGTGAGCTTTATTTTTGAACTTTGAAAGAGCAGGGAACAATACGTGTCCCTGGTCCACCACCTTATTCTAAGCTAACACCTTTCCTCGTCTAACCTTTGACAAGAAAGCAAACGAGCATACTACCATAAATGTTTAATGTTTATTTCAAGCTCTTTTAAGACAGTGATGCATTTGTTTGACCTTCTTGCTCTCTGTGTCACAGGCTCCTAAGCCCGGCCCCTTTGTTAAAGAGATGCAGGACGCCGCCATGTTCTACACCAACCGTGTGCTCAAGGACTACAAGGAGAAGTAAGTGAAGCCTCTCTATATTCTGCTGTCCAAACACTCACTCAGGAAGTATTGTAAGAAAGTCAGGGGCTTACTTTTGCAATTTAGTACTTGTTAGGTTTTTTTAAACGGCATGATACGTGTTTGAAATGTTGTAACATCTGATAACTAAAAGGTTATCAGCCAAGCAGTTTGCTCAACACATCTGTCTTTCCTTCCTCCAGGCTCTGTATTTAAAGTCAGCGTTTCCACTTCAAACGCTGACTCATGCTGCTACTAGACTTCCTGTATTTAGACCTGAAAAGCGTTTGTGTTTACGAGCAGAGTGACAGTCAGGTTAGAAGTTAATGAGAGTAAAATCAGATGCACAGAAACAACTTTACAAACATGTCTGCAGAGTTGATGTATTCAAATAGTCAGTTTTTACAGTATGACATCTGAACTTGGTGGTTAATATTGGTAAGAAAAAAACTGCTGTATTTTTTTAAGTAGTTAATTCATTTTTCTCATTGAGTCATGTTACCTGTAAGAAGCAGAGACCAAAGTATCAATACATTGCTAGAGAGGGGGAAAAAACGAAAACCTAAAATGGCCGGACTTTAACTTCTGCTTCCGTCTCTTCCTCACAGGGACAAGGTACACGTGGACTGGGTGAAGGCCTACCTCTCCATCTGGACTGAGCTGCAGAACTACATCAAACAGCACCACACCACCGGGCTGACCTGGAGCAAGAGCGTGAGTCTCTTCAGAGTAACACTTAAGAATCCTCTCTAGAATCAAATGATAAAAAAGACCATTTCTATCAAGCGACTTGCCGTCACTAACAGGAAAGTGCGAGAGTAACCTTTTAAGAGCAGCTCTCGAGTGCTCAAATGATTACGCACATGTATGTTCTGAGCACGATGAGATTATCGGTGATAGCAATTTAGCCTGCCAGATATATAATTCTCTTAAAAACATCCATACATTATTACTATGCATTTAAAGGGGCCCTATTAAGCTTATTTTCAGGTTCATATTTGTATTGAGCCTCTACTGTGACATGCTTTCATGTTGATGACCAATCACAGAGTCAGCTAGCTAACCAATCAGAGCAGACTGGGCTCTGGTTTCAGACAGAGGGTGAAAAGACAGGCAGTATGAGGAAAAATAAAGGGCTTTTTGAACATTAGAGGTAAACATGTCACTGTAGAGATACAACATACCCAAGCATAATGGGGCCCCTTTAAACATAGCTTAACATAGCTTAGCTGAATCATATGCTGTGACATCGCATGTCTTCAGGTACAGTATTTCTGACTTCCTGTCCACCTCAGGGTCCCGTTGCCTCGGCCTCTGCAGCTGCCCCCAGGGCTCCTGCTGGTGGATGTGCTCCCCCTCCTCCCCCTGGACCCCCTCCTCCCCCCATGGACTGCAGCAGCTCCGGTGGTGGCGGGGGGGGCGATGGTGGTGCTGACACCCGCAACGCTCTGTTCGCCTCCCTCAACAAGGGAGGGGACGTCACCACCGGCCTGAAGCATGTGAGCGACGACCAGAAGACCCACAAGAACCCCACCCTGAGGGGCAACGCTCCAGTGCGTGCCGGACCCAAACCCTTCACCTCAGCCAAACCTGCTGCGGCCCCCGCCCCCACCCGCACTCTGCCCCCTGTGTTCGAGCTGGACGGGAAGAAGTGGAAAGTGGTAAGTCGTTTGTTTACTCTCAAACAAATAGTACCTAGAACATAAGAAATCACAGCCTCAGTGACACATTTTTGCTTGAAATAGGTTACTTTAGTGAGGACCCAAAAAAGGAATTAGCCAGAGTGACCGTTTTTAAATACTTATACACTACTACATATTTTGATATATAAATGTTATTTATTGCAGTGCAATGTGGACATTTCTTTTAATTCTTTTAGCTATTATTTTATTAATTCAAATCCAATTTCCTGCAGGATCACTAGTGTTCTGATGATTGACAAGAAAAGACTTGTTTATGCAGCAGGCTATTATGCTACCAGAATGAGCCATTATTATATACTTTTTTATAAAAGACTTATTTAACTCTTGCCTTTTTAATATTGTTTCCTCCACTCTTTAGCTCTGTTTAGTTCATTCTCTTGTTCTTTGTCTTGCCCTCTGCAGGAGAACCAGGAGGGAGTGCAGGACCTGGTGATCAGCGACACAGAGCTCAAACAAGTCGTTTATGCTTACAAGTGTAACAAGAGCACCCTGCAGGTCAAGGGCAAAATTAACTCCATCACAATAGGTAAGATCAAAACTGCGTGTCTGATGTTTAGAGATACTGAAACTCACTCGTCAGAACCTTCTGAAATATATGCGCTAGAGAAGATGGGTAGACGGGGTCTTACTTATTTACCAAACGTATAAATATATAGTCTTTGATCTTCTCTCTAAATATTTGTTTGTCTCCATCAGACAACTGTAAGAAGCTGGGCCTGGTGTTCGATGATGTGGTGGGCATCGTAGAGATCATCAACTGCAAGGACGTCAAGGTCCAGGTGTGTTTAAAAAGAAAAAGTGTTATTACCATTTAGTTTTTACTTCTTGTGTTACACACCGCTCAGTTTGACAGAGGTGCAGTGCAAATGTCCCATCAGATAGTGAGGACGAAATGGCTTCATCAACATGCTAATGGTTTTTGTTGCCTTTTTACGCATCCAGGTCATGGGTAAGATCCCCACTATCTCCATCAACAAGACGGACGGTTGCCATGTCTACCTGAGCCAGGACTCTCTGGCCTGTGAGATTGTCAGCGCCAAGAGCTCAGAGATGAATATCCTGGTACCCAACAAAGAGGGAGAGTTTGTAAGTATCCCTTTTTTAGGATGGAAATAATACAAAAGAATGTTTAAAAGATAAGTCTAGTGAAATTCTCAATTTCTTTTGTTCATGTTAGTAAATCTAAACCAATCCCACTTAAAGAAGGCATAGACCACGATGTTTGCCAAAAAACTCATCAAAGAGCAACACTGCTGCACTGTCAGACATCTTTGTTCATTAATTTGAATAAGACTGTAGTTTACTTTGAATTAATCCCACTCACTACCTTCCTGCAGCCGTGAATACTAACTAGTGGCAAATGTGTATCGGTGTGTTCATCCGCAGCTGAAAATAGTCCACAACACATGATGCATAATCTCCTCCTGATTGAGAAACATTTTGGTCTAACTCAATGTTCAGATTTGAGGAAATAAGCCTATAATTTTGTGTAGGAACCAATGAGTAAAAGAGCCCCTGGCAGAGTAGGAAAGTCAGAAAGTGCCGACCAATGGAAACGTTGTGTTTTTTTACAACAAATAAGAAGTCTTGCCTGCTTCATTATTTCTGCATGGGCATAAAAAACGGCTTTTTAAAAAAGGAAATATTTCACCATGACTTTTCTCTCTCCACTAGACGGAGCTCCCTGTTCCTGAGCAGTTCAAGACCGTCTGGGATGGCAAGAAGCTCGTTACCACATCAACAGAGATCGCTGGATAGATGGGGGCAGCATGCGATACCACGATCCCTTCACGGCACCATCCCCACCCCCTTTTTTTGCAAATGCCTTCTTGACTGATCGACCACCCCACCAGCTAACTCTCACATTGTAGACTGAGATTTGGACCTTGTTGCGTGTGTTATATCTCCCTCCCTTCTTTCCATTATCAGCCAATCACAGCTTAAGCTGTCCCTTCCAACAGCCAATGAGAGGAATGCTCACTTTTATCTGGCGCAAAATCCTCCAGCCAATCAGCAGGGAGCGGCTTGTGGTTCAAATTGGAGCACTTTTCAAAAACATTCATGAGTTTTGCCAATAGCTGCGATGCTCTGTATGATATTCTGTATCTATCTGGATAATGCTAAGCTAAATTTAACATGTAGAATAGCCAACATGGGAACAGAGATATTATTACTCTGCAACAATCAGGCTCCACTAGCAGGATGCTTCAGGGGCTTCTGGTTCTTTTTTAACCTTGATCTGTTCCATTATATGCAATTCACCGGTGAAGCACTTGTCAAACTAAGAGGATAATGGCATCCATATCACCTCCGCTGATGTTGACTATAATAATAATAATAACATTCATAGTGGATAATGTAAAAACACTCGGAGCACAAATAGTGGTAAAACAATGTGAAACTCATTTAGGTGATGTTGTAATAAGTAAAATAGCAGGAAAATGATCATTCCATGTGCTTTCCCTTAACCCACATAGGACATTCCTGAATATGAACAAAAAAAACATTCCATATAAAGGAGGCATGTAAGAAAAGGTTTGTGATAAAGAGCAAAGAGATGCTAAGTGGAAGAGATAGACATTGTAATTGTTAAATGCTTCACTTTAGTCTCTAGATTGGAAATATCTGCATCTGTAAAGATATTGATCATTATCAAAAAGTCTTAAATAAGCCTGACCATCGACGTCTCTCCACTCGCTCGCGTTATGCTCTTTGGTTAAATGTTCAGCTCGAGGCTCTTTGCTGAATTTTCTTTTATATTTTCTCTTTATTTACCTCTTTCTTTTCTGGGTCCAAAAATCTCAATTCTGCTCACTAGTACTGGAGATATCATTAAAAAGAATGTTGCAATAAATAATGTGCTTTGTCTTTATTGGATTAAACACATGATCTGTACAGAGGCTGTTAGATGATGTACATTAGGCTCCTACAACTAATACAATTAAAAGTCTCACATTTAGGAAACAAAACCTGATCATAATAACAGCTCACAGTGGAAATGTGAACAACTTCTAAAATCAACATAAAAAAACCAACATGCGACAAAATCAGTGCAATAGGAATGGATTATAATAATAATAGCTTGCATTTATATAGCGCCTTTCAAGAGACCCAAGGTCGCTTATGGGAGTTCTGAATCCCTGCTTAGTCGGTAAGCTTTTACTCTTAACTTGCAATATATTGCTCTTAAAATAGAATAGTCTGCTATTATATGTCTCTGAGATGACAGACTGGAAGGGTTTTTACTGTAGATAAGGCACCAGGTTTGCGGTGAACCACTCTCTGGAGAACTGCAGGTGGTCTCCCTTGGTCGCAAGAAAATCCAGCTTTCCAGCTTTGTCCATGGCAGCCAGACCCAGACGATCCTGCATGGAGACAAACATGATTCACCTTCAGGAAGTGAACTAAAAGGCAGTCCTCGCTGTAGGGTACCATGGCTGCAGTTGCATTTATCGTAATTATTTTGTTAAGGTAAATAACCAGGAAGTGGAAGCCATGATAGGAGCTATTTGAGTCCTCTAAATGCTTATAGGAATGATTTATTACATATATAGGCGAGAAAAAAGAAAGGAAATAATGCGATCCCAAAATCCCATACAGCAAGATCAAGCAAAACAAGTTTTAATAATATCTGTCTTAATCCTCAGTGCCCTAGGATTCTTTTAGACCCTTCCCTTTATTCCCCCACAAGTCTTTATAAATGATCTTTCCTTGACCTTAGGACAATGTTCGTCTTAAATCGAGTAAAGGTAATTCAGAAAAGAGAAGACTAAACGTTTTTCCTTGAGCTCTGTTTGTAACTTCAACACCTTTTTAACCGTGCAAAAAGAGTTGGGATGAAATGTACAACCGACTAGGCAAAATCAATAAGTCAGAATCGTTTTAAAAAGGTTAAAAGACCATTTCAAATGTCCGGTGGTTTAGTATTACATGTACAAGTTTAGGGATTGCAACTGTTTTCACAAGGTGCTATCCATGACAGACCAACTATACTTGTATAAAATCGTTGTAGAGCACATGACTAACCCTAACCCTGCTAAGACTGAGACTCTATGCTAATACAATTAGTTTCATCTAGTTCAAATATCATTACTAAAGATTGAAGAGAGGGGAACAAGCATCATGCTATCATAAACACACTTACCTCCTTGTAGAGAAGGCTCTCCTGTAGAGTTTCAGTCTCTTTGGCCTGTCCAGTCTTCAGGAAGCCAAACCACTACAGCGACAATCAGAGGTTTAGTGATGCTGCTTTATTATATTTAGTGTAACATACATATATAGAGTGTGTTTGTTACCTCTGTATCGACAGGGTCCACCACGGTGTCCTGCAGGAACTTCACCATGACGAACTTCTCCAGCAGCTGGAGGTTCTTCTTGTACGTCTCATTCACCGCCTTCAGAGCAGAAGGACGGGTGACATTAGAAACATACTGAGAAAGATGGCCAGTTTGATTCATACTATGAATACATAAATATCTCAATCAGCAACAGCAGCTTCTACAAACAGTGTGTACATCATTCAGACACACCATAGGAGGACTTTATTTTAAATCAATTGCATGCAATCCAATTACTTTTTGTATTTTAAGGGAAACTATGGTTTCTTTTATAGTAAATTTGACTTTTGCAAGACCTTTTTGTGAGAGACTATTTGATTAAATATTTTTGAAATACTATAAAAACACTATACTCTGACTTAGTATCAATTTTGTATGACATATCTACAGTTTATTTTTTAAATTGTATTAATAATTATCAACCATTAAATACATATGAGTTATAACTGTTTCTAAAGGGTGTCTTATTGGGAAATAATATGAAATACTTTTCTTACTTGCTTAATTGGTGATCTCAGTCTTAATATGTCAATGAAGTCTGCCAGATTCAGCAGGTTTAAGCCTCAAAAACAGCAAGTAAGAGGAGCTGTAGTTCCATGTATCTTATCAAACTACTTTCTTTAAAAAAACTATTACTTAACATTTTACTTTCCCACAATAGCCAATGCTTGCATGCTGCCCTCCCACTGCCTGAACTCATTGCACTGTATTTTGCATGAATGTTATATTTGCATTTGTTCCTCAGACTTCAGTTTGTCTGAGGTGCTGCAGCTGCAGACTGAAGCTGTCTTTATAAATCCTCCATACTGACCCTCTCCTGGTTGATGTCGGCCAGGAAGAGGCTGTGCTTCTTGTACAGGTCGTCGCTCAGCGGGTCGTGCCAGTACTGGGCCTGCACCAGGCTGATAACCACAAACACATCCGGTCAGTGAAAGTGTGACAGACAGCCAAACAACATCAACACTGCTGAACTCATCAGTGAGAGATAGACAATCCTTCAGAGAGGGAGGACACTCACTGTTTCTGAACCAAGTCGCTGTAAGCTCCGCTGTTCAGAGCTTTGCGGATCATGTCACAGATATGGGAGCTCTCTCCGGGACACCGGGGCAGCCCGTACACTCCTGAGGGGCGCAAACACAACAAGACAATTTGTGACCAGATAGTATTAAAGGTCCCCTATTATACTATTTTTCATCAATATATTATAGGGCTCGGATATATACAAAACATGTCTCTGAAGTGTTTGTCTTGAAATACCAAACAGATCATGCATTGTAGCATCCCATAATCCCCTCTGTTTCAGGCCTGTTTCAAAAGTGCTGATTCTCTGTCTGTTACTTTAGATGAAAATAAGGAGCCACTCCCCACGCCCCTCTGATGCTCCATTCACACCAACGCGGTTCCCGTTCTAGCACCGCGCTAGAGCTTTTCTGGTTCGGAACCGGTTTTTATTTTCAGCCCCCGTTTTGTTCACACCGCCCAGAGCCCGACTGGTGCTGCCGCTGCTGCGTCATGACGTCACCGTTTACGTCGCTGATTTCCCCCGGGAGAGTGCCGTGGTTCATTGTTTATTAATGTGTTGCAGCGGCATTTACCGACCGCTGCAGTGCTGCCCGCTGTTTGGCATCACAACACTGTTATGACAGTTTCTCTGGTATAAAATGGGTGATGTTAGCATAGCAACCGAAGCTAAACTGACTATCTTGAATCGTTGCTATCCTATTGTGGCATAAGCCGGCACATTTTACCGGCGTATTTTTCATTATGATTCTACTTGTGATAGTCGGACATGAGTCATGACAACCTGTGCAGCCTGTGTATTGATTCCATCCGATAGCTGCTATAATACAAAACAAAACGTCTGCCTGCTCTCCACAATGATCAATGACAGTGAACGGATGGTCAAAGTAAGGTACAAAGAAACAGAATCACACGAAGCCTGGTTAGTGTTGCCTGACTTTATAAAGTGTGTTTTTTTTAATAAGTGTGTGGTTGCGTTCTAGTCACTTTGGTCAGCGTTACTGCTTGTTACAACTTTTATTTGCCGTACTCGCCATAAACTGTTATAACGGGCCGTCTCCACGGCAGCGTTAAAAAATATCTTGAAACGCTTCTGCCCATTCACTTTGAATGGGGTGACGTCACTTTTTTTCGCTTTCGCCGAAATGCATTGTGGGCAGGCGAGCGGAGATTCTCAGGATTTTCAAGATCCAAAGTTGAACAATGTTCAACTTTTGAGGCTGAGGTGGAAGCGTCAGCCAATCAAATCCCGTGTACGCAAATCTGACAGTTCAAGCTCTAGCCAATCAAACGGCGTGTATGCTGGGAGAGAAATACCGCAGGTCATTTCCTCATATTCCAAAAAATGGAGGAGAAATTAGCGGTAGCGAATCAATCACCCGGTGCTTTATGACCAGACCCTACCGGGATATAAACCGGAGGAGCCAGGCATGGAGGGAGGGTGGCAGAGACAGTGGTATGTTTTCGCCTGTTTTGGGGAGTTTATATCCAGTTTACTTCGGGCTTTTTGGCTTCGTATGTCGCGGGCGGGAGATTCATGTGATTGGTTGATCGCAAAAAATCCTCAAGCTTCAGATACGCCCACATCCAAGATTTTTTTAACGCTGCCGTGGAGACGGCCCGTAACTGTTAACTGGTTGATCCCGCCCCTGCCCCCGCCTCCGACGTAAGCGTGACGTATGCGGTTCTTGCTTCTAGACCGACAATTTTTTTGGTGCTTGAAAAGCACCGGTTTTCGGAGCTTGGAGGCCGCTCCGCTGCGGTGTGAACAGGAAAAAACGGTGCTTTTCAGGCTCTAGCTCCGAACCGGCCCTGGAACCGCGTTGGTGTGAATGGGGCATGAGAGATATTTGGTTAAAAAGAACACAGTGGTGCTCTAGGAGGAGATTCAGGTGATAAGGGGGGGGGGGGGGGGGGGGGGGTGGTACCTTGGTTGGTTAATGGTTACACAAGCCAACAAATTATGACATCATAAAGTGGCCAAAATCTGATCAGCTCATTTTCAGACAGGTTTTTATATAAATGGATCAGGACAAAAAGAGAGACAATCTTTGTTCCTGAAACTTTCAGAATCTCTTTACACAGAGGGGACACATGGTGATGTATACAAGACATGAAAAAGTGGATCTTGCATAATAGGTGACCTTTAACACTAGAGGATCTGAAAATAAAACAGTGGTTCAACATGGAGAAGTCCTTCAAGTGCTCACAAAGAAATGACTGACAAAATGTATTTGGTCAGAGCAGCACTGATAAAATACATTGAGTAAGATCATGTGCTTTTATCCAAAGCTCAGTAAAGCTAATAAAGTGACCTTTTTGTTGAGAACTATTATTTTAAATATCAAGAATGAACTTTGAAACTTGAGTATTATTGGGATTAAACAATCACTGCTACACCACTTGACCAATTTGCATTTGATTCCAATGTTTTTTGCAAATGTAATTCACGTAGGAGAAAGCTGTTTTAATGTACACACTTGGTGACTATTTACAGCAGCAGGACAATGTTTGCAGTATTACAAAATAAACTACACTGCCCACGATCGTGGTAATGAAGAAACATGGTGCCTTTTTATAGTTTGGAGATAACAATGAAGCTCTTTGGCAGACGAAGAAAATGTATCTGACTTTGAAAACAAAGATGACACTAGTAAGTGTACCCATTTATTGTTGATTTTTAAGTATAATAGAGATTGTGTTATATACTAAAAGCATAATAGCAATATTTTAAGGATTTTATTATTACATGCGACTCCAACACGTTATATAGATGTATCCATTCATTAACTCTGTTTGATCAGTATACACCAAAAGAAACAGAAATGGTTTGCAGCAGCAGCTATGCCAAGGGAAGTGAGCTGTTTTTTTTTAATGAATGAATGATGTTACCTTGGTGCTGGCCCCCGACAGAGATCAGGTTTTTCATTGGTGGAGAGGGACAGCGCTGAGCCACGGCTCTCCTAGAAAAAGAGGAACCAGGAAGTATCAAAACCAAGCTTCCTGATTCTCACACAAAAACTTTTCTCTATGATGTTGCTATTTTTACAATAATTCCTTCCGCAGACAAGAAGGAAACTTCACACAAAAACAGAGAATTAGCTAATTGTCTACCACATGAATGTAAAAACCATCAAGTGTGCAGGACAGCAGTTACGTACAGAAACTGCGCCCCCTGGGAGAAGCCCATGGCGTTGTACCCTCCCTTCAGCTGAGGGTCCTGGGCCAGCTGACTGCACGCCATGGACACCTGCTCATTCACATTCAGGAAAAACCCATTTTCTGTGTCCTGCAGGAGGGGGAATATGAAAAGTTCAAAGCGTGACAGGCAGATTAAGACGAAGAAAACGAGCACCGTCCTGAGGAGAAACGCGGAGAGATGACTTCACGGTGTCACGACAGATCAAAGCAGAGTCATGCAGGTTTTCTATGAATATTAACGCTGAAAAATGACACCGTGAAGTTGTAAAAGAGCTCCTTTTCTGATGTAACCTGTGCCACTGGCATTGCAAATATCACAGGGTGGGAATCCTCACACGTCAGGTGGATGTATTCATCACACTATGATTGTTCGATTCACATGTGATGGTTAAACATGGTTGATGATGATGGTTGTGTGATTGTATTTGAAATGTTATTTTGTTCTCTATACTTGTGTTGTAAAGTGTTGTATTTTGTAAAACACCTTGTAAGCGCTTTTTAAAATTCCTATAAAAACAAAGTTAATTTTTGTATTAGTATTTGTAGTAGTAGAAGTACGTTTATTTGTATTATTATTATATGTTCAGATGTATTTGTTTGTACAAGAGGAATAAAGGAATTTGTTTCTATTTGATATAAAAATACATTATGAATTTATAAGTTTGGAGTTACAAAACTATAGGGAATCTATTTTATAGCTTGAGAAACACACAAAAAAACAATATAATATTTATAAAACATGTAAAATTAGCTCCAAAAAAAACAACGAATTGACAGAACAGACAGATATTCAATAATATTTCATTTCATATTATAAGTTCCTTTGTAAGGGGGTTGGTTGTGGCTGGGGAAGTGTTCAAGTACCTGAATGACATTCTTCCCAATCATCAGTGAGAGCACGTAGATGCCAGAGATTTCCTCCTCGATCATCTTCTTCATGGCCCCCATGCTGAGCGGGTTACAACAGCTGTCGCCTGGTGGACACATAAAACATTTCCTTTATTAGAATTCAAGATATTTAGCTCACATTGACTCACAAAAATAATAATACAGAGTGTATTGCTCATGAGGAAGCAGTGCATAAACACAAGACGTTTTTCAGAAACACACAGAACAATATTCTGCTGTTAAAACATGGGAGGAGCTTAAGTGGAATCATAATTGTGTGTAGAACTTAACCTCAGAGGTACCGGCCATTCTTGTTGAAGGAGAAGTGTTTTGTTTTTCACTTCCACAGTATGCAAGTTCTAAGTTTAACTTTGCACCTGCACGACACACCTCGCTCACATCATAGGTCTGGTCAGTCAGTTTGAATTTAAAAGTCTATAAAGAAGTGGTGGTTGGGTTTTCTTTGCTTTCACTTATCACAGCACTCACCTGCAGTACCTTTCCCTTTCTGTTGTGAAATAAGTCAGAGGCTCAAGAAACTGATTGTTTAAGTCTTCAAAGCAAGATCAGGAGCTTTATTTAGTCTCTTGTAAAGTCTTAGAATTGTAACACAAAGGAGATGCTTAAATATGTTCATTGTATAGTGTATAAAATGTCATCGCATTTAACATAACCTCACTTCCTGCTATAGGGTCCATAATTATAAAGTCATGCTGTGAAGCCAGACTCATCTTTAGTAGAGATGATATGAGATTTGTATTTGTATAATATGTCCCTTAGTTTTAACACCTTGTAGCTTCATTAAAGAGCTGGAACAAGCTGATATGAAATATGAAATAATTTTTTTAACTTAAAGATACGTTACAGAATTAAAGTGGGAAAATGGATGTTTAAGGGATAAATAAACAGATCAAATTATACCACAGGAAGGTTGATAAAACAGCTCCTTAATGTCATTTTTGTATTATTTCAGTGTAAGAATGGGCAGCAGCACCGTCACTCACCCATCCCATGCCAGATCACCAGTGGTACGGTCCCATTGTCGGATTTATAAACTGGGCTTCCGGCAACCAGCAGCACTGGAGCCACCAGGAGGAAACACAGGAGGGCTGCTCTCATTCTGGACCTTTAAACAAACACATGAGGGGTTGAATTTTGCATTTTTATGTTGTGAAATATGTAATACATATTTCCCTTTCTTAATGTTGTACTACTTTATCAAAACATAACACCGCAAGACAACAGGAGCTATTATATATTACATCTTCTTTTAATAAGAATGGCTTATTATTCATTTTTCTGTACATGTAACAACACTTAGAAATACTTCCTTGTTTTCACACATTAGGTAAACCTACAATTATTCCTGAATTACTCCCTTTTACGGATTTACTCCCAATTTGGGATAACTAAATGTTGCTGAAATGCTCTGTAGCAGTCATGTGACAGTCAGAAACTAAGCTGACAGCAGCATTTCCTATTATCTTCAATGCGTTCACTTCATTATAACTGCACATGGACTGTTTCAGATCTATCAGCAAAAGCCACAAAGCTAAGACAGGGAATTAGACCTTATAACGTACTTTTAAAACATAAAGGCAATTTAAATGACTCATTGCGGAAGTTAGCATGGACAAGCTAACTTACTAATCAAAGGAGTTAACATCAAATAAACCAATAAATAATTACAATGTTAAACGTGCAATTGCAGAATTTTAAATATGTAGAATTTTGAAAATCAACATAACGTTCAAAGCATGGAGCTTTAAGTTTAAAAGCAATATATAAGGTTTTAAAACACCCTAAATGTCCAAAAAACATTACTCACCGCTTGTGTTCTCTTCCTGATTCTGTTTGTCACATGACTATGTTTAGGGAGAACAGCCAATCAGCTTCAAGAAGCGTCTAACTTGTGACTAGCCTTTTTCTTTTTACTAATCCTGTCTGTTTTGTAACCTGCGTTACCCACATTTCTACCGACATTATGGTTATTTAACCTCTTGGTAACTTTTATTTTAAACCCCGTGTGGTTACGTGTCCGCCTGACTTGGCGTTTTTATATAAACACGGCGGTGACAGCTCCTAGCTAATTAGCTTGCCATGCTAGTTCGTCGTGAAAATCAACAACATTCCTGTCCGGATTTATTAGCCAGTTAGCTAAAACTTAAACTAAGGACAGTACATCTAAAAGAACAAAGAGTAGGCCGGAGAGAAAAGGACAGGATGTCTATTCAGTACGAGGACTCCACGTTAGCGGGCAGTTATGATGTTGTGGGGTCGTTTCCCAAAAGTTTTGGGTACGGGGTGGAGGAGCAGGATCTGGAGGAGAACTGCTCTTCATCAGCTGACAAACCCAGGATCCTGCTGATGGGACTGAGGCGCAGCGGGAAGTCATCAATTCAGAAGGTAGGGCACATATGCATTTAAAATATACACGTTCTACACATTTCATTAATGTTAGTGCCCCCAGAAGTAGTTGTTGTGCAACAGTAAGTCAATCTGCTTACTGCTAGACTGATACTTCCACTACAACTATTTGAGAGTTATATGAGCTAAATACTACAAATTAGGCTTTCAAATACAAAACATAGGATGACTTATGATGCATTGTGGTAGGTTAAACAAGCTTCCAGTTTATTAGAGCCCCCTGGCTAGAAATAATACACATATCCTACAATAAATCCCCAAAAAAGCAAAAAAGTCAGAAACTCAGGGAAAAGCTATTTGATAGAACCAGGATGGACAGACATGGAATAGGTGTTTATTTACAGATAAACAGAAGTAGCATGTATTTCCAAATCAATCACATTAACTTAATATCAAGGGCAATAAATGAAAGCAGAAAAACATAGGCGTAAAAGAATGAAGGCTGTGGATCAATCAAGAGATTGACCTTAATCCTCTTCTCCTCTGACCAGGTTGTTTTCCACAAGATGTCCCCCAATGAGACGCTGTTCCTGGAGAGCACCAACAAAATCTACAAGGACGACATCTCCGGCAGCTCCTTTGTCAACTTCCAGATCTGGGACTTTCCTGGCCAGGTGGACTTCTTGGACCCCACGTTTGACAGTGAGATGATCTTCAAGGGAACGGGCGCTTTGATATTTGTCATTGATGCTCAGGTGGGATACAAGAGAAGAACTTTGTAGGTTTCTAAAGGCTTCCTGTGTGACATGAAGTAACACGTCTCTTTTTATTTCTCGTCAGGATGACTACGTCGAGGCTCTCGAGCGGTTGCATCTCACCGTATCCAGAGCCTACAAAGTGAATCCAGACATCAACTTTGAGGTGTTCATCCATAAAGTTGACGGTCTGTCAGACGACCACAAAATAGAAACACAAAGGGACATTCATCAGAGGGCCAACGATGAGCTGACAGACGCTAACCTGGAGAAACTGCACCTCAGGTGAGCAAGATTAGCTGCAAGATTTAGCTCTAGAAATAGTGTTAAGTTCCTAGATTTAGCTAGAAATGATTAGTTCTAGTTGATTCTTTACAATATTTGGCACTATCTGCATTTAAGTGCTTAAAGTTTCAATTATCAATGTTTTTTACTTACAATCCTGCTTAGAAAATGTGTCTAATGTGAAAGATGTCGCTCATCTTGACAAACCCACAGATAATTCTCCAGTGACTTCTCAGTTATGCATGTGTTAATAGTCTACTTTTGCAAACTGTTCATTTTAAAAACGTTATAAGCTTAAGTTTGTTTGGCTTCTTATAAGCCTGTCCCTTTTCACTCAATTGGTTATTTGGTTAGTGCAGATAGGACTGTACCGAAAGATTCCAAGCTTCATTCATAATGATGACATCCAAACATTTCCACAAACTCCAGAGCTTTGTGTTGTCCAAAAGTCCAAATGTATTGGAAAAAAGATAGATAAGATCTTTTTTTAAATTCACAACATGTAAAATATCCTGTTACAATTCATAGTGGGTGGCCTTAAGTCTTGAAACAAAATAACATATTTACTGCAGTTGAAACTGTGCTTCCTGCTTGCCACACTAAGGGATGCAACTGTAGCAGAAATGTATTAGCACCATAAATTGCCTTTTACAACTAAAAAATCAATTGCAAAAATCAATTTCCCCCTATTTCTTTAAGCTTCATTTGAAAAACCTTAATAGAAGCTTGAATTCAGTCCAAAACGCATAGATCTAACAAATGAAGCTTGGACTGCAGCGGTGTCTTTTACCTTTTTGTGGGACACCTGTTGGTAATGTCAGACATTTGTAAAGTGTTATGTTTCTATTCTATTCTGTCTGTGGAGCCGTTGAACTGATTTGTTCTTATGTCCTCACAGTGAGCAGAAATCTTTAGTGTTATAGAAGGTTTCTCATTTCTCTAATTCCCCTCCTCGACTCCTATCCTCGACTCCTATCCTCGTGTCTTAGTCCCGCCCACAGGAGATGCGAGCATAGGAGTCGAGGAGGGGAACCGAGGAGAGAGGAGTGGAAGCAGCAGGCGTTTAGAGAAATGAGAAATCCTCTCCTCTGAGCGGTCATTTTAAAGAGACGTCCATTAATGATGACAGGAGGCACAGCAGCCCTCTGTCTGATGGACAGAACTGTGTTCATGACCACTTATATATTTACTTTTAATTCATTCACAGTGCGGTATAACGAGACAATAACAGGCTACAGATGCGGACATATACACACTAGGGATGGGAATTTGAAAGCAAATGTATATTCGAATATTCGGCCCCCAAAAAAACGGTTAACCGAAATGTACATATCCTATACAAAAAAAAAAAATGTGGGAAAAAAAATTACAAATTTTATTTTATTTTTTTAATTACATTTTGAAAAATAAATAAATACATGTTCAAATAAGTATACAAACCAATTCGAATTTGTCAAATGTATTGAACTGGTGATCACAGTTTGAACAGTTGACAGCTATAGGCCTACAGCTTTCATGCTTAAAACATAACTTGGTTTTCTGATGGATTTGGACATAAACGCGAGTGAAGTATAACCGGACGCGAGAGAGAGAGATCAGCACCTGCAGCTCTGCCCGCTGTGAGGGACCGGTGAGCGGAGCAAAACACACCTTTAGACCTAACACATTTAGCTATGGCACTGTCGTATACATTGAATTATTCCATTTGATAATATGTAATCAACTTAGGCATCCCTCCCAAAAAAAAAAAAAAAAAAAAATGACAATAAAACATATTCATAACTCATATTCTCATATTCGATTAACTGAATAATTTAGAGTATTCGATTAATCCTTCCCATCCCTAATACACACACATATATATTTATATATATATTTATATAAATATATACAATTTCAGAATCAAACAAGTATGAGAGCACTCACAGCATAATAACGTAACACATTCAGACACTGGATATATCCCCCCCCCCTCTTTGGTCGCTACAATGAGGAATTGAAATTACGGGCCAAAAGTTTTATTTACAAGTATTAAAAGTAAGCATAGGACACCAAACCACACACACACACACACACACACACACACACACACACACACACACACACACACACACACACACACACACACACACACACACACACACACACACACACACACACACACACACACACACACACACACACACACACACACACAGTACAACACGCACCTACACACTGTACAACACGCACCTACACACTGTACCACACACACACCTACAGCTCCTAAAGCATATAATATCAGGATACGGCCGTTGTGTATTTTATTATGTGAAGCACTAAATGGTTTTAGAAAAATATCGACTCTTTGTTTGTAGATATCTTCTAAACTAAAGCATACAAATAAAGAGAGTAATGTAGGCCTGTTATACTGAGTGATATATTATACACTGCTCTGCTTTCTGCACGGACCTCACAGCTGTTCTCACTGTAAACATTGCGTCGCGATGAAAGCAGTTACTAAAATAATATCCAGGGGATGCATGCAGAGCTGTCCGGCCGTGCGTCACGACTCTTTGAAACATCACTGTTGCCGGAAATACATCCGCGGAGGAGCCGTGGAGGACCCATCAGTGTACCCTCGATTATAGCTCCTCCAGAGAGCCTCCTCGATGCTCGATGCTCGGTCCTCGAAGTGCATTTAGAGAAATTAGATGTCCTTCAACATTTCCGGGTCACCGGAGGACCGAGGAGTCGAGGAGGGGAAATTAGAGAAATGAGAAACCTTCATAGTTTTAGAGACTTGTTTGGCTAACCTCTCTCTTGTTTCCCTCCTCAGCCTCTACCTAACCAGCATCTACGACCACTCCATATTCGAGGCCTTCAGTAAAGTCGTCCAGAAGCTGCTTCCTCAGTTACCAACACTGGAGAACCTTTTGAACATTTTCATCTCAGTATGTTCACTTTTAATGCACTGAATTACAGAAAAAAAACGTTTAAGTCTGTATTTGTACCGTCTTTATTTACATCCTTCCTGTTTACAGCATTCTGGGATCGAGAAAGCCTTCCTGTTTGATGTTGTTAGTAAGATTTACATCGCCACAGACAGCTCCCCGGTGGACATGCAGTCCTACGAACTCTGCTGCGATATGATCGATGTGGTCATTGATGTCTCCTGCATTTACGGGTGAGGAGATTTATATTTGTTTTAAGTGTTGGCACAGATAGTTTCCTGTGGTTTGAAAGTCTAAAGGTGCCTTCCTTCCCCTGTTGGCAGGCTGATGCAGGATGGCAGCGGCTGCGCCTACGACAAGGAGTCCTCGGCTATCATCAGGCTGAACAACACCACCGTGCTTTATTTGAAAGAGGTCACAAAGTTCCTCGCTCTCGTCTGCATCCTCAGGGAGGAGAGCTTCGAGAGGAAAGGTCAGTTACATTGGCACTAGTCGACAGCGGTTTGATTATACAGGAAAGAGGGAATGAGGTGTGCAGCTGCCAACTCAAAGGTGTCTAAAGCTAAAACAAGGTTTTATCCGGCTGTTTTATCATCAATTCTAAGCGGATTAAAAAACTTTCTGCACACATTAAGGCACCGTTTTTCATACCATAAATAGTCAACTTCTTTAAATTGGCCAGGTGTTTTGAATATTTAGCTTTAAAAAAGGAAGACTGAATGTGGGCAGTAAGATTAAGATCAAAAATGTATGTTGCGTTTATTTTTTATTGTGGTGTTTCATCTGAAATGTTATTCTGTTTATTTTTCACTGGTGGAGTGTAAGTCGATTTACTCAAGTACGTACTAAAGTAGACATTTGAGGTACTCGTACTTGTACTTATACTTTAGAATATTATACTTATTACTACACTACAATTATTTACAGCTAAAGATGCTAAAGTATACAAATGTTGTATACGTATGGAAAATATAATGCATTTTTTTAGGTTAAACTACAGTTTAAATAGCTCACATTTGCACCAATTACAACAGCAAGGCACATATTGATGTCAATATTACAATCTCAAACAATTTTCCTATTGTTTTCCTTTTCTAAGTGTGGAAGACAAAGCTAATATGTATTTTTCCCATTTACTCTGAGAGATTTGAACACTGTTTTTGGATGCTATGGTTGTAACATTTCTTATTAAATTAAATTCAGCTTTAAATGACTTGTGTGTTCTCTTGGCAGGTCTGATAGAGTACAACTTTCACTGTTTCCGAAAAGCCATCCACGAAGTGTTTGAAGTGGGAAACTTGCCTCAAGACGCCCTGACGGGACTAAAGTACGCCGGCGCGCACAACGGAAGTGCTGTTTAATACACAAAATGATGCACAAAAAACATGTGAAAGCAAACATTACTCCTTACAAGCACATGTTGCCTTATTGTGTGCAACAGAGTGTGAGTGTCAGCTGAATAATGAAAATAGACTAAATATGATCAAAGAAATATATGCTTTTAGAAATACACATCTGTCCAGTACTACAGGGGTGTTTTATGCCAAAAAAACACCCACTGTTTCCTAGTTTCTGCACATGTATCGGTATCGAGATGTCAGCTATGTTTACCTAATGGCCAGTTTCTTCTGTGTACTCATAAAAATACTCCTTAAGCGCTCATTGTGTGAGCGAAAAACTCCTTTGACAAGCTCTCAAATGCATTTCCTCCAACAAAACTTTACAGTCCAAACTTCTCTCATGTTCCTGCTTTATTTTGCTTTGAATTATAGAGTGCTGTGAAGGGATTTAATCCCTTGTATGAACAAAAGTCAGCAGAGTGTTTGTGCTGCTGTGTTTTCTGTTGATAATGACTCATGTGCTCTGCTCAGGATCCCCGCACTGTGCCAGTTTCACCATTAGAGCCTCGCTTCGATTCAACAGCGTGTTGGTCCTAATGGAGTCTGGAAATAACGGACGATGCCTTTCTCTCGTACAAACCCGCCCCCCCCCCCCCCCCCCCCCCCCCCTGCTGTCAACTTGTTTTTTTAGAGCTTGTGATGAAGCTTCTGAGCACATTTACTCCACAGTTTCCTTTTCGATGCAAGCGTTGAATAATATTGTCAGAGATTTGTTTTTTTATTATTGTACATAATTCTTTAATAAAATATGTTAAATATTTTGATGAGTCAAACTTACCTGTGTCTTTGGGATTACACTTTTTAAAAGCATAATAGGTATCTTAAAATTCTAAGATAGTAATTATAATATTTAATCATTTTGAGAAACACTATAACAATCTATTACATACTTAGACAAAAATATGACTACTACTTTTTATTATTGTTTAATGTCTTTCTACATTTATTTTGTGTATATTGAACACAAAGAAAGCATTCATCACATGGTGTTTTTTTATTACTACAATGCGAACTTGACTTAATAGTATTAATAATAATAATAATTATCATAAAGAATGTTGTGTAGAACCATTTAAAACGTTAGTGTTTTACAACAGGAACATTCTAAATAATCCAATTAAATGACAGTGTGAAAGCTTTATGAAAGGAACATAAAGATATTGAAAAAGCTACAACAATAACATTGAAAATTAGACATACACATGCAGCAAGGAAGTAAAGCACATAGTCAAGTCATGACATAATCAAGCCATTTTATGAATAACCTCAATCATTTTGAAGATTTCGCAAAGATTGGGACTGTTGTAAGTAGCAGATTTAAACAACAGGTGGCAGCATAATCAAATGTTAATATTTTACATTTTAGAAAGATGTACCAGATTTCACTCTACTGCTCGGGCAATAGTTCAAATAGATCAATATGTACCACGAATCCTCTACCATGAACTCTAACAGCCCATCATCAGCATCTGCAAATAAGCTTATAAATGCCACACACACACACGTGTGTTCAAAGCCTCCATCATGTACACATGCAGTGAGTCCTGAGTTAATGGGTAGTGGCAGTTTGGAGCCACAGCTGAAGCCTCTAATCGTCCCCAGACCTCCTGCTCACCACTGTGGAAAATAAAGGTCAATGAGAGGGAAAATGATATCTTGATTTTTCTTTTTTCCAGGACCCTGCAGTTTGCTCGTGACCGCAGAAGATTTCATGAAGCCGAGAAGGTTAGACTTGAGAGTGAAAAACAATACAGAAATTGTGGAGGGGTTAAAGTAACTGTTCACTATCCTCCAACTGTGCAGAGAAATGAAGCCAAACGGCAAAAAGGTTTTTATAACTTCACAGCCAGAATGTCTTAATGGCTTTCATAAGCCATTAAGACATTCTGTATAATTAATACACATCATATTAAAGGTTAGTTGTAGGCAGACACATTTTATAGAGTATATCTATAAAGTTAATATACATTTATTTTTATGATCATCACTCTCATAACATCTCTCTCAAGAAAGCCAGAAAAGTTCTGAGACATCCAGTGAGGGGAGTTTGAGTTAGGTTTTTTTTGTCAAAATTCTATTTTCAACTGAAACATTTTTGTCTAAAATGAATAAAAAGTAAATAAATATTTGTTATCATGTATAAACAGTAGATCAAATACTTTAAAACATGTAAAAAAGCTTTATAATTATAATTGTATCAACACGTTAATGTGCATTGATAGTATAATTGCCATGACATGTATAGCCTACACTTAATAAGTAACTTATAACACAGTATAAATTAAGATGTAATCATGAGTGCAGCATCTGTGTTATATTTGTACGTATATAATACATATAAGGTTAAGCTATTTGATAAAAAAATACACAAATAAACACAAAAGAATGTTCTCATATGAACTATGTTAAACTTAAAGGGGACCTATCATGCAAAATGCACTTTTGTACGTCTTTTATACATGAATATGTGTCCCCGGTGTTCCAGGGAACTCACCAAGTGTCAGAAAACACAACCCTCTCTATTTTCCTCCATACCCAAATCTCTAAAAAAGGGGCTGCAACGGATCTGATAAAAACTGATCCAGATTTGAACACTGTCCTGACGTCAGGACAGTGGCGCTACGGCTATTGGGCCAACTCCACCGGAGAATGGCCATTGCCGTTCGAAAGCGCTGGAGACGCTGTAGTACATATGCCAGGCCTCTAGATGGTGCTGTTGCTCACAGAATCAACCCTTGCAAAAACAGAGCTAACATTTTTCAAATTGAGCGAAATGAGGCATGGCTAAAATGCATGATCTGTTTGGTATTTTGAAGGAAAAAAAAGTATAAATATGCCTTATATAGGTATGGTCCTACACTATATTATTCAAATATAGCATGATAGGTCCACTTTAAATTAAACCATTTGTTAAGTGTATGCTACTGCTAACTGCAGACATGCAAGGGGGTAAAGTTAAGTGTAAGAAAAGTGAAGGAAACTATTTAAAAAATGTTTCGCAAGCAATATTTTATATATTGATAATGGACTTAGTCCTCAGATGACTTTTACTGAATTCATGTGAGATCAAACTGATGTAGAGCACAATAAATAGCTCATAGGTTACTATAAGGTTTTTTCCATTTAGAGATAATAACGTGGTTTACGTCAGCAGCTGGGAGCCACATTTTTACTCTGTATTTAAAATATTCAATGACATCCAAAGAAAACACAATAAGTGTACCTTCTCTGTGGTTGAACTCCCCACAAGGTGAGAGAGAGGGAGGGAGGGGGGGAGGGCGGAGTTTAGGGAATGGTTTCCTTTTTACGCAGCAGATGCTTCAGTCAGTGGAGAGCCCGCAGCGCGCAGGAGTTTCTCGGAGGATCTAATTATCTGTCATTTTATCCAGCAGAGCACCAGGAGCAGACACGATCCTGCAGAGACTCCTGAGAGCATCTCCAGAGCACCAGGCACACAGAGGTACGCTCACACTCAGGGGATTTAGAGGGGGGCTTTGTGAGTGAAACAGTAGATGATAAGTGAATTTAAAGCGTGTTGGTGATGTATGGTGCACTCATGAAGACTTAAAGTCTGCTAACTGAAGAACTAACATGCTCACTTCACCTGTTTCTGTTCAGTTAAACACATTGAGACTTATATGATTAACATACATTGTGCACCTCTCTCTTTCTAAATGGATGTTTATAAATTAATGCTTTGGTCATAACTCATGAACTTTAGCATTATAGATCAGCTAAATGCAATTCATGCAAAAAACTGTGGGATAACAGGTTGTTAAGACTTCCTGGTTAGAGAATATGTTACCTATTTTCTCATTAAAGTGATCCAGAGCATAACCTTACGCTTTATCAATTAATCTGCCGATTTGTTTCTCGATTAATCGATTGATCAATCGGTCTGTAACATTTCAGAAATTGTGAAAAACGTCCTTCCCAGTTAAAATAGGAAAGTTCCCTGTGTGAGGGGCTTAAAACTGCATTTTCTGACAATATTACTTCAAAAGTTGATGTTTAATCGGTTTTCAAAGGGTTGGTCGTTTGGTTTTCTGTAGATCGACCAATCATTGCAGATTTATTAAAATAATTAAAATAAAATCTATGTATTACTGCAGGTTTGATTGCAAATTAAAAACTGAGAATCTCAAACATGTGTTTATATCACTATAATGTATAACACCTGCCAAAACCAGTGGGATTCTTGAGAAATTGGCAACCCAAAAGTTGGACTCATTAATGAAGTGAAATATGTATCAGCGATAAAGGCATTATAAAGGGTGATTTAGTGAAAAGTGCATATTTCCAAGTCAAATATGTGACCCCCACTTCCAGGATGGACCAGAAAGGATGTTCCTTCTTTAGCGCGAGGAAACAGTGGATGTTATTGGGGGTTGGGGGCCTGAACGGGGTCCAAAGTGAGTAACTGATACTATGAATAAGTGCTGTGGCCCCTTGTCCAGTTTTTTTCAAGTAGGATTTATGAGGAGAAGAACAAGGAGAGCTTTTGAGGAAACAATCCCTTTTCATTGAATGTTCCTAGAATTGGCTTGGAAAAGGACAAGCTTAATATATGAGAACGCTTTTATCATGCAATTCTTTTATTGAATTTATTTGAAGGCATATTAACAAGTCATTCAGCTTTGTTGAGTTAGTGATGTCATGTTTCCTTCAGATTACACATTTCTTCTGGAGACTCAGCTACCCCCATCCCCCCTCCTCCTCCTAGGCCGCTCATAGTTTCCATCACTGCACACCATCCCCATACACACCGCCATCATGTTATAATCCATTTGGGTGAGATTAATACATTCATTGAAACAATGCAGCTCTCCAGGAATTCTTGTCTTTTTTTAGAAAACAGAGGGCGGAAGAAAAAAATGCTTCTTTTTTTTTTACTTCTTATTCTCAACCACAAGAGTTTGCCACGTTTTGACCACGGTCGCATTCCTCTGAGATTCTTGCCATGGGCGAAGAAGGTTGTGCCCTTGTACAATCACTGGAGACGAGCCAGACAGAAATAAAACAGAGAGGATTTCTGGATTGTCAAAGAGACTGACAGTAATACAAAAAAATCATGAGTCAGTCTCACTCACATATTCATGTCTTTTCCATTTCCCATTTCTGCTGCACAGCATGAGAAAAGTTCATAGTTTCAAGAAACTATAAAAAGTTTGAAATAGAAAGATTGCAGTTTCAGGGGGTCTATTTGATAGACTATATTGTAAGTTAGAATATTTCCAAGAAATAGAGCATAACGTAGCCTATGACACTGAAGCTATGGAGGTGATTACCTTAGCTTAGCATAACCATAACCATTTTGCAAGGCGAAATATAGCCATAGTCAAAAAAATATGCCTAAATCTTACGAAGATTGGTTTAATTGGTAGGCTACACGCTAAGAAATCTATAAATAACAATTTGTGGTGTTATAGCTACATCATTAAACAGTTTTTTTGGCAAACAACAGCCATGAGCATTGACTTTTCAGATCTCCTCGACCATGTAAAACAAAAAATTGTATTTCTGATTTTGTGTTGAAGAAACAAGATATATGTTATTCAATGAGAGTTAGAGGTACTATTAGGTGGAGTTTGTTACCTTTGGATAGATCCAGGCTAGCTATTTCCCCCTGCTTCCAGTTTTCATGCTAAGCTAAGCTAACCGGCAGCTAGAGATAGCAAATATAGTAAATTAGCTTAGCTCATTTCCTCAAATGTCTAACTACCTTTTTAGTCAGAGAAAAGCTCCTTAACTTAACATTCTCAACTTTAGTTTGGAGAAAATGTCTATTTTAAACTTGAGCCTTTGTTGCTCAACCCTACAATTGTTAGTCTGTATTTAATTCTGGAGGAAAACCCAGCAGTTTTTGCTTTTTCTTGCTGATATTTATAACAATTACTCAATGTATCAAAACCAACTCTCTACCTTCCTGTACTCAAATAAAGCCTTGAGCAGCAGACAGAGACAGCCGGCCATTCTCTCAGAAAACAAAGATCTGTTACCATTAACACCCAGCACTTTAACCGTCCAATGCCAGCTGGCAGTTGATGGGAAAATATGTTTACTTGTGTGTTTGTTTTGGAAGATAGTTGTCAGTATTTTAAGATCAGGCCGACTGTTTATTTGCATAGGTCAATGTTCGCCTGCGGGTAAAATCCAAGGGCAACAACTACGCTGCCAAAGTAACTTCAATGAAGGAACCTCATTTTAAGAGACTCCACGGACGCACTTGATTATAATCTTTTTAATCTTTATTTCTACTTTTGCTCTGTCGTCATCCGTAGAAAGATTCAGACGTTTCACATGTATTTTTAGACACATTTATACTCAGCTCTGGATGGTAATGTTAGTTTAGTAGGTCCACCACTTTGGACCAGGCTGACATATCTCAACAAGTATTGGTTCCATTGATGGGAAACATTATACACACATTCATGTCCCCCAGAGGATGAACCCTTTTGATCCTGGACTTTCCTTCTAGCACCAGCGTCGGGTTGAAGTTTGACCAATTGATTCCCAAATCGTCCATAAAATCATGTTAACTTCTCAAACCTTATCTGTTGTTACTATGTCATTCCCATAGAAATCCTGAATTCAATGATTTACTACAAATAAAGTAGTTTGGTATGAATAAACGGGGAAAATGGAAGAGTGTTCAGTTCAGGAACACTTCCTTGACAGGTCAGCTGATCATGCAGAGACATTAAAGGACAAATTGAATGAGAACATTTCCTCTTGAATTTGGAAACCAAACAAATCTTTCTGCTTGTTTTCTATCTTTTCCTTCAGATTTAATGACGAAAATAAGTATTAATCTGCAGATCGGGTTTGCGGTGTTGCACAAAGCTCAGTTGCTAGCAACCAAATGAAACTGTAAGATTTGTAATGTTTTTCCATTCGAAAACAACTATGAAAAAGAAAGATTGAACAATAAATGAATGTTTAGGTGACCTTAGATGGTGATTTTCTCTAAAGGACATTCATATTTAGCTTAAGTTCGCCCCATTTTAAAAATGTCTTTCCAAGAAAACCTTTATAGAGCCATTAAATAAAGCATTTTCGAGGGTTGGAGGAACTTAAACTATGTAGTATTTAATAAGAAATCTGAGAAAAGTTACACAAGCTACGTTTTTTCCCCCCATTGTTGTCTCTCAGTAGTCAACTAGCATCCCCATCCCATAGGAATCAGCATCAGGTCATTGTGTGATTTGCACGGTGGTGACTTGTTTACTTGTTGTCTGACTGAGATGTGTTTGTGAGTTCTGGGGACAGCAACGAGGTGAGGCTGCAGCTGCTGCCCACATTGTGTCACAGGATAAACAAACAGCCAGCAGGAGACTCATAAAACACCAGACACCTCTTTAAACCTGTTGAACCTTTCAACCTGTTTATGCATTAACTGGATATTGCGCGTACTCATTTATACTGTGTGACAAATGTATATATTAAAGGTGCTTTATCCCATCATTTCATAGGCTTAATGTTACACGTTATGTGCCATTAGTATCTAATAAAACATATCAGATTATAGTTAAAGTGTGAGAACATATTCCTTTAAAAATATGACATCTAATGAAGCTAAGAGTTTGCTGATCTCACAATCTCAGTGTTTAAGAAGAATTCAGCTAGAGGAGATTTTTATTCGAGACAACAATGGTCTTTTTGTTGATTTGTATGCGTGTGAAGCTGAAAAAGAACATGTGATTTGCAGGAAGTTTTATAAAACCCTATTTTTAAAAGCAATTTATTCCCTATGTCATTGTCTTAATATGACAGGTGTGTAATACGTTTTCTGAACAGATAATTGGTGATATGATCATGATAAAATGAAGCATTGGTAAACAGTTGAATCTTAACTTGCCCTTATAAGGAGGCACTTTTTCATGTAGCAGGAACCAAAATAATGTTGCACATCTGCCGACGCAGCATCTCAGAGTACGTCATTGTTTACAACAAGCAATCCATCCTGATGAGATCTGTAATCAGAGACATCAAGATGTTCAATGTGTTTTCTTGTTGATTTGCGTGCGTGCAGCGGAAATTAGCCTTGTGATCTGCAGGAACCGCACCACATTGAGCGTCTTTGTTCTGGTGATGAAAGGGAGCGCAGTCATCTGACAGCCACAAGGGACCAGTCTTGTGTTTTTTTTCTTTTTTTTCTGTATCAGTTTATAGCTGCAACCGTGAGGGTGTCACTTTCCCTCCAACGCTGCAGGGCTCAACTGTTGTTGCCGTTTTCCATACAGTATTGTGCGACTGTCAATATTCTCATTCACCTCCCCAAATCCAGGTTATGCAACCCTGGGAGTCGCACAATGTGAGGACTGTTCTGAGCTCCAGAGGCCGTTAAAGTACCCTAATCCATTTCAGAAGGGAATAAACAGTGAAAGTGGTGTAATTAAAAGGCAACTTTGTTACACGCTTTCCTGTTTTTTATTGAATGCTCACACAGTGTGGGTTATTTAATGGGTGTTACATTTAAAGAGAAAGCAATGATTGTTAGTTAAAGCATTGAAAAAGAAAAACTAAGTCTACAGTCACGCTAGAAGACCCGTAAGGCTACACTTATAGTTTATGGGCAACATAATAGGAAATACTTCAGCTTCTGAGTGGTATTACAGAAAGTATTTATGACAATGCGATGATGTCTCTGACTTTCTCAAAACAACCGCAGAAATTTAAACAAACCACTAGTTCACTATGTTCAGTCAACATGCCTGAAAAGCCTGCAAATCTGAATGAAACCTGATTATTCTCTCTAATACAATCAATATAAATAAAAAGGGAGGTATGCAGCTTGTATCTGATTGTCCTTACACAAGTATTTAAAGTACAGCTAAAGCTCTGTAGGCAGTTCCTTTAAGGTCATGTGTTTGTTTTGACTCTGGAATTGATTGTCAAATGTGAACCTTTATATTATAATAACTTTGCTTGGCTTCTAAATCATGTCATGTCAGTTGAATTTTCCACAGGTAGACACCCCATCAATCTCAGCTTTACTTTGGGTTTAATTAGCTAATGTTAGCATTACCCAAATAGGAACCAATACATGTTGAGATATTTCACTCAAAGCCACGTTCTCTTTCTCATGGTGGCACTAGAATAACAGTATGAGAATCACCAAACTCATTAGTATACGTTGTGTTGGGACCGTTAATGTCTATACAAAATGACATGATAATACATAAAATTGTTGATGATGTATTTCAGAAGATCAAAGTTTCACTGGCATCTCCAGAGCCATGCCACTATAGCAACACACTTTGTAAGCCACCTTCCTGTTTAAACTGACCAAAAAGTCTCATAACTTTTCTTGCTGCAATGTTAAAATGAGAAAACTATGATTGTTACATAAATAATACATTTAAAAAGGACAGGAGGCTGTACAGGAAAATGTTTATTTTTCCAAAAAAGG